TATATATATGTTTATATATATAAAAGACACGATTGTGTGTTACGTAACTTGTATGAAATTGTTATACGGTATAATTAAGGATAATTATAAGTAGCTCGGTTTTGAAAAAGAATATTTTTGTTTTGTAGTAAGACAATGGAATGCGACAATGTAAAGACTAAAAGGATTTTGTCTGAGTATTATCAGTACAGAAAATAATTTAGCAGCGCCATGTCCTCAATCATTGGTTGAATCTGATATGACATAGAGATTGTAACAATATCATGTACAGTAGTATTGGTTTCACACACAAAGACGAATTTTTTCACGTTTTACCAAAATAATCTTTAGGATAACTTGGCTTATGCGGCGACAAAGACTAGACTTTACTTAAATTCCAAAAATATTATTATCATGACGAAATCGATAAGGAAAGTATTAACCGTATCGATGACTGATTTATCAATGATAAATTCGATGATGAAAGCGTATATCCTTTTCCTAGTCTAAGAGTATTTTTCAAAAGCGCGCCACAACGGAACGCTCCTTTTCCTTTTCTGATTCTATATTCACCCAAGTATACAAAAGACGCAATTCAACAAATAAAGCAATTCAGTAAGCGTTCAATGATTTTTTAAATATGATTGATTCTTATTTTTAATTAATTTATATATTGAATCTGAATATAAAAACCAATCATAATAAAGAATCTGGATAAATAAAAAAAAATGGACTTATATTCTGATACTATAATATCACATACGAAAATACACTACGATAGTATTTTCTTACGCAATATTTTTCGAGAATAAAGCTCCTGAGAACGCTCACTGAGCTTTGTCTGCTGAACGCAGTTATACATTTCTACTGACGCTAATCGCACAGTTCGATAGAAGGCACTGCATAGGCGGTGATACGAAAAGTATCAGAGGACCGTACTACGTCTTTACTGCTGTTCGCGATCCTCTCTCTGAACCTTATTCGAAGTATTGTTAATGCTTAAGATATCTTTACGCCCAATGATCGACTAAAGAAAGAAAGAAACGATAGCCTAATTTAAGTACTCCGGTGCCAAGAGATGACGGTACCATCCCGCCGTGTATATACTACAGAATTAAACGTGAACGTTGAGGAATAGAAGGAGGAACGCGACGGATTTTTTACTTTTGATTTAAACTAGATTTTAAAGAATACATGCAACGATCAAAGATATCCCGCGACACACCTAGCCGTAATCGAACTTACATATTTTCTAAGCTATTTAAAAACAAAACAAGGATTCATCGTACATTATAACTTTTACTTTGCCCTACAAGCGCGAGGAGGGACATAGGTATTGAAAAGTCAGAAAAAATTTCAAAGTTCTTCACGATGTAATAATTAATGTCTCGATAAGAGGAATAAGATCTTTCAACATAAAACTAAGATAACGATAAGATGATAGTTTCCGAGATTGAAAAGGAGAGAGAGCCGAGCGCGAGTGATAAGTCTCTTGATTTGTCTCTCCTTGCATGTAGAACTTCTCGAATGTGCAATGTGGGAAGTAATCATTATCGCATAAGAATATTAAAGTATTTGTATAAATTAATACTAATAATAATAATCATATATATGTATATATATATGTATGTATATATATATATATATATATATATATATACAAATTCAGACAATTTTGTCTTCTCAATCTACATTTTATTGTTAAAAAGATATTCTTTGCTTTTTTTTTTTTAAAGGAATCATTTTATTTGCTCGCCAAGAATGTCCAAGTCCTATCAAGTAAAAAGTACATTAGTATGTATATATTTATTATTTAACCCGTCGAGAATACATCCCTGGTTGAACAAAAGTTTTTTACTGAGAATAAATTTATTTATATTACCATAAGATATATATTCTCCGATATTTCGTAGTAAAAAAAATATAAATATCAAAGGGAAATAAAATACTCTAGTTCGCGAAAGAGAGATTATTCTAACAACTCGAAAGAGTGATGCGCAATATTTAATTACTCACTAAAGATCTCCGAACCGTAATTTTTTTTCAAATTCTCAGTCTCGCATGTATTCGTATGATTCTAAAATGCTGATTGTTTCAGCGTGTTTGAAATCTGAAATCGCTGCGCGCTGGCGCCATTATTATCACGTTGTCGACGGTGCACATTTGAAATTCCAAGATGGCATTAGTCACGTGATTCGATGTGCGGTAGCTGCGGTTTAAGGCCGTGTTTCGCTTGTTTCTACCAATATGGATTTCAATGGATTCCGCCGTCCGCGTACAGCAGATAATGATAATCTCAACTGTTGCGTGAGCGCTCGCTGCTATTGGATGATCCAGGAGAATACACCAAATTGTGTCTGCTAAACACGAACAACTTAGTTCAACACAAAACTTGCTGATTGGTTGGGCTAAGTGAAAAAAATTCCAATCACAACAGTCGTTGTGAGCTGTGAGTGGCTACGCTGCGACCAATAACCACATCAAACCGAACCATGAGATATTTCCTCGTGGTGTAAAGTGCGTATTATTTTCCGCAGCACAAGGTATGTATGAACTACGATTGAAGACTTTACGATAAAACTATTTGATATCATCCTTCTCGTCTCTCTTCCCGACCCATCATATTTAACGCGTACATGTATGTATGCACTTGTGTAGTATACCAGTCATACCAGCACTTCCCTCTCGATTGACGTTTTTACTTGATAAGGGATTTTGGCGTACAGGTTATGTACGACAATTGTCAAAGGCAATGTTTTGAGACGTCTCGTCTCGTCGTGACAATTCGCTGACCCGTTTCACCCGTCCCGTCCGTGAATCTCTGCTCCACCTTCCGCCTGGATCGGAGTCCGGAGTCGTTGTCTTCACGCGCGGCCTTTCCGAGTTAGCAACTCCGTGCTCGCCTTCCAGGCAATGTCAGGAAGTGCACTCTCGGCCGAGCGCTAAATCGTGATTTGTCGCAATCGAGACCCTTTGAGAATGGCCGATGAGCTGGTGGAAACACCACGGGGCCTCAATAACGAGGACACCGAGTGCATCGTCGATGCCGAGATCGACGGCGATGATGATGACTCCGACGGGGTCATAGTTCCAGAACTTCAGGGTACACTATCCAAATGGACAAATTACATACATGGCTGGCAAACTAGATTTATTGTACTCAAAGATGGTACTTTGTCTTATTACAAATCCGAGCAGGACAGTGGATACGGATGTCGCGGTTCGATTAGTTTGTATAAAGCTAATATCAAGGTGAGAGGTCATGCGAGATGAGATATGTCTTAGCAAATATTTATGTTTAACATTGTAACCATAATGACGCAAACAGTGACGACAATAAATCATTACATTAAGTTATCTGTTTAACAGGCACATCAGTTTGACGAATGTAGATTTGATGTGTCCGTAAACGATTGTTTGGTTTGGTATCTAAGGGCAAATAATCCAGAAGAGAAGCAGCGATGGGTAGATGTCTTAAAGTCTTACAAGGTAATGATATAGCGCCGAGACACTTGTCTCCAGATAATAGTTTATTTTTGTTATATTATATTAATAAAAATTATACAATTATTTTAATTAACTATGTGCTAAAGTCTCTTGTCTTAAATATTGCAATCTTTTTTTATTATATACTTTATGTATTTTTATTAAATTTAGTCAAAATATTTGTAAATTAAAATTAAATTCCACCGAAAAAATTTGTGTTCGTTGATTAGTAATTTTTTTTTGTCGCAAATAGTCAGAATCCGGCTATGGAAGCGAGAATAGTCTCAAACGACACGGTAGTGCCATTTCGCTCGTATCAAATACACAATCGACAACGAGTGCCGGTAGCCTTACTAAACGTGGCATTAGAGGATTGAAGGAAAAGTTGGCCGAAATTGAAACGTTTCGAGACATTCTAATCAAGCAGATCGATACTCTGCAGAAGTATTTCGACAATTGTGCAGAAAATGCCAAGAATACTTCTAAGGAAGGTAAAAATAAATTTTAACTTGTAAATTCTTCATATGCTTCTGTCTCTTGTTTCAAATATTCAGAATAAATTTATAATGCAAATTTATGATGTAAATATATAATGCGTAATTTTAAATACATAATTATAATTATTATATGAAATAGATAGGAAAAGCCTTAACATATTTCATTAATTTTGTTGCGATAAATTTCAGAAAAGGTAATCGAGACAATGTTTAATCCAGCCGAACAATCGGTGGATTTCAAAGGGGAAGCGATAACGTTTAAAGCGACCAGTGAAGGAGTATTGGCGACCTTACAGCATTGCGTCGAATTGATGGTACAGCGAGAGGATGCATGGCGCCGTAGATGGGAGAAGGAAGTTGAAAAGAAACGAAAATTGCAAGAACTTTATAAAGCTCTGAAAGATCAAATTGCCATGCATCATAACGGCTCTCCAAGGCCTAGGGTTGTTATACACGGAGGTCCTGATTACGAGGTTGGTTCTTTTTTTTTCACAATCCCATCGCTGTGTATCATTTCAATTTGTATATATGGATTTATGTATATGGACTAATTTATTGTTCTCGGAATTACAATTTCATGCTACCTTACATTACAACCTTACTCTAAATGAAATATTCGTTTTTAAAATCGAAAAGCACGATGTAAATAAATCGTAGCATATGGAATGGAAATCGGGATTGGATCCGAGTTTTATCGAATCCACCGCTTTTTTTCGCACAAAATCATGCGTCATCTTGAATTTCTATTTAGTGAAATTCTTATTTTAGAATTTTTAAGTTATACACAAATATATATACAATATTCATTGTTAATATCAATTGTATATTGCATATACACTTTCATAATATACTGCATAATATAGTATAATAATAAAATAGAAAACAAGTAAAAAATTTAAGAATTAAAAATATTGTTTTGTACGTGGTTCAGCTCTCCAACAATGATATGTGGACATCATGTATCTGCTCAAGTTGTTTGTTCACTATATTATATAATACATTAACAGCATATAATTATCCTTACAATCATTGTGATAGCTTTTAAAAGAAGTAAAAACTAGGGAGATATATGAAATTGATGACTTAAATAAGTATTAGTCTCGCTAGAAAAATATTTTAAACTTTAACCATATTTATACATTTTATTATTATATATAATTATCCATTTTTTTACTATTACTTAGTATTGTTATTTTTGATAATAAGAATTCGTCAGAATTTTCTCTATATCTATTCATATATACAAATGTTCCAAAATTTTATAATAAAAATACAAGTAAATTAAAAAAAAAGTTATACAAGTATTTGCCACTCGTCATGTCAACCAGTAATTTTTTGAAATATAAATGTTAAAAAATTATAGATTATGATTGAACAGTCGTTTTTAACTTTCTATGCAAAAACTATTGCTCGGAACGACAAATGGCAAGTACTTTTACAGCTTATTTTCCCACAAACTTTCTTGCTACAGTATTTTGATTTGCGAATTTTGGCACATTATGTACGAAAATTACTTATAACTTTTTTCTTAAATTCTTTGATCTTTAATCTTTGATCTTTTCTCTTAAATTCTTTTTTATTTCAAATCTGTGAATTTTTTCCTGTCTCAAATATTTTTATATAAATACTTTTATATAAATTTTTATATAAATATTTTATATAAATATTTTTATATAATACTTTTAATAATTACTTATTTATGATAAATCTGTTATAACATCATTGAATGTCTTTGTAGATGACATAAGTAGCGCTTATGTGATAGAAAGTAAGAGAAATGCGTTTCTGGCCATATTTCGCAATTATGAATTAGGTCACTACTTTGGAAATCTTTTACTTGCTTAGTATTCTTCAGACCACCAAAGAGTAAAACTTACGTATTTACTCTTTGTATAAACATTTGTGTATGTTATTTCAATTTTAACATTAAAAAATGAAGTTAAAGATCAAGTTTTATAATGTGAGTCTTAGACTGCGTTCAGAATGCGCGTTATCAGTGCTATTGTGTCGTTGTATCTTTATCATTCGTTGGACGTAAAACAAGGCTAAATAACGTATTAGCATTAATAACGCGCTCTTTGAACACGGCCTTAATTGTACATAGAAAAGCGATATTTAAATGTACATGGAATTTCTTTATGTGTTTATGTTTATAATGAATTATAAATTAAGATTCAGAGAAACAGTAATTTGCATTATAATTTTTTTCAATAACATTTGAAATTTCGTTTTTAAGGAAGGTCCGCATAGTGCTCTTTGCGATGAAGAATTTTACGATGCCGTCGAGACGGGCTTGGACAAAATCGAGGAGGAGAATCAATTAAGGGATCGTTTAAAACAGAAATCTGTCTCAATTTTGACATCCCTCACCACAACAGCATCTACGCATAGGCTATGGCCAGAAGTAATTAGATCTCTTTATATTTTGCATTTTTCTAATTTATCGCAATACTTAGAAATTTTATTCACATATTAATGATTATTAAAAAATTAATTTGTAACATCAATTAATTGTAATATCATTGTGGTATCAGATATACGATAAATAAGTTCCTAACAATGTTAATTCCAAATGTAACAGTAATTGCTAATTATTTATAATTATACATTGTATTAAATTTTTATTATTTCATATTATCAATTTGTAGATAGAAAAAATTACGATGGAACAGCTACATTATGCTCGGCTCGGCGTAGGCGGAGCGGGTGGTTGGCAATTATTCGCCGAAGATGGTGATATGCGGATGTACCGACGGGAGGAGGAGGCCGATGGATTGGTTGTAGATCCTCTCAAAGCGTGTCACGTCGTTAAGGGGGTGACCGGTCACGAAGTCTGTGAAATATTTTTCAGTCCCGAATATAGAAGCGGTTGGGAAGCCACTTTGGAGGACATGGCAATTGTCGAAAACATTTCCAAGGATACACTATTATTTCTGCAAACGCACAAACGTATCTGGCCGGCGAGCCAACGGGACGCGTTGTTCTGGTCGCACATACGTCGTGTATCCGATGATCAGGATCGCGACGCTCATGATTTATGGATAGTCTGCAATCACAGTACTGAACATCCCGATTATCCGGTACGTATTATACGTTTAAAAATATAAAAATTTCTTTGCTTTGAATAAATTTCAACACGTTAAATAAAATTATCGTTGCAGCCAAACGCGGGTAAATGCGTGAGAGTCTACTTGACGGTTTGTCTCGTATGCCAAACATTTATTGATCCTCCGAAGGACGAGGAGGAAATAAAAAGGGAGAACATTACGTGTAAAATAACGTACTGTTCAGTTGGTTAGTATATTGATGTTCAACGATTTAATTGCTTTTATTATATAATTGTCGTAATATATTTAAAACGTCTGTAAAAAAAAAGTTTTGAGAACTTTTATTTTTTCTTTCTGTATCCAAGTATTTATTTAGAATTAATGAAAATATTAGAAGTATATATCCTGGTTTTTTTTTTCATGCACTTATATTTTGATTTAAATTTTAGTAAATCCAGGTGGATGGGCTCCAGCGTCTGTTTTACGAGCCGTTTACAAGAGAGAATATCCAAAGTTCCTTAAGCGTTTCACGAACTTTTGTATCGATCAATGCAAGAATAAGCCGATCACATTTTAAATGTGAACTGATATGAAAAAAGAAAAAATTTCAATGTTTTCCATCCAATTCCTTATTCACTATTTCGAAGTGTCTTCACATGATTATTGTAAAAACAAGTTTGTATTGTTACATACTGTAGGAATTATAGAACGGCCATTACAATGTAAGTGAAACCGTTTTGTATATTACCTTTTTCTTTTTTTATTTGCTTAAAATAATGAACTTATATAGCTTACGAATTGAAGGAGACGAACCGTTATATTAAAAGCCATTTATGATATAAGTGAGTGTATAACAATTATATACACTTGGACAAAGAACTTCGATTGAAGCACGCGTGGCTGCAGCACCATTTACAGATTATCCTTTTTCTCTTTGTATAACAGCCTATTATTTGTTATACAGTAATATGGGGCATTTTTTCGTTATCCAACCAGAAGCGAGACTACCTTTGTTTTCAGGAATCAGAAGATGACTATTTCTGGTTGCATAACGAAAAAACGCCAATACTGTCGCATAATCCAATTGTACAAATCTTTAACAAAAATTGGATACATATACATTTATCTCTTGTTACACATTACAATCTAATTAAACGCTAAATTGTATCATATCAAATTATACTGTTATTTTTATTCGTACATAAAAATGTGTACATGCTATACGATATAAAGGTCACATGGAAAAACATAATAAAGACTGTTGTAGATTTATTGTATGAAATAACAATCGTTTCCACATCATGCCGTTCATCAACCTTTTATCTTACACAATAAAAACGTGGAATTTCTTTGTGTAATACATTTATTTCTATCAAATGAAATTTAAGAAATTATTCTATATTTTACACACACACACACACAAAATTCCAAAATTCTTCATCTCTTCCAATTTATATATTTTACCAGATAATTTTAATTAAAAAATTTTAATTTTTAGAGAATGTATACTTTTTATAGTATTAGATTTTGTGTAATAAATGTCCAATTTATAAACTTTACTATTTGTTAAGGAAAGGTAAATATTTCTTCTTACAGAAAATAACATAATTTAGTGAAAGTAGATTATAAAATGATTATAAAAATGTTATTCTCTACACATGTTGTATAAAAGGATATCTAAACGTAAAAGCATTATATCATAAGACTTTTTATATGTTGCATGAAATAATTATATTATATATTCTTGTATAAATTATAATGAACGATAATAGATTGATTGAAATTAAATAATCGCAGACTTGTATGTAAATGTTACACGAAAAATAAACATAAACAAGTGATAATATGAAAACTAGATTAAAATCATTGTATTGTAAAATATTTTGCAATATACGTATAATCATAAAATTAAAATTTCATCGCTGTTTTTATTCTAGTTCTATGCATTATTGTTTAGTAGATTGTATAAAATAAAAAACAGTTGTAAATATCTTAACATTTCATATATATAAAAATCCAACTATTTAATTTCAAACAGTTTTTAATCAACAGATTAATGACTATTAATTCATGTTTTATATATACATGTATATATATAAAAAGTTTCATAACATATATGTATATGAGAAAAATGGACTTCAAATATAAAGTCACACGGCGATCTTGCAGATTTTTACATATTACTATAATAGAAAGGCAAATAGTTTTACATTGAACAAAATCATTTTTACAATTTCAATTATATTTACACTTTTCAAAGAAAAGTTTGACAAATACAGGGAAACAGGAATGAAGTTTTCATTAGGTAACACGTAAGTAACAATAAAAATTAATCGATATGTTGAATGTTTACCTGAGAGCTGTATAAATACATATTAAATGCAACATCGTTTTATATCTGACTGATAAAATATTTTTAACGAATCTGAAATATGACAGAGTCACGAATTTAATTTCATTAAATTAATACTTAATGTTCACATTTAATGTTTTACCGAAACCACGATATTTGGCTGTATCTTCTTCAAAACTTTTTATCTTTGTCGTATCTTATTTGAAATTATATCACATTTAATAACCAAAAAATACATGAGTTTACTAGAGTTCAATATCAAACAGCTAGTAAATCTTTTAAAGTTGGTTTAAAGTACTTTTTTACAATTATATAACAAATTATAAAACTGCTGCGCAAGTCTAACTAAAGTCAAGAACGTTTTTTTTAAGTATAAAAAACGCTTGATTGTTAAAAATTTTGTAGCCTATATTTGTGTATATGACTTTCTTTATGATTCGTAGGAGCCTAATTTCTTTAGTACACTAAGACCCTTCTCTTCATACTCCTCCCGTGTTATCCATACAGAATCTCGATCTTTCGTTATTTCCGCTAGTACAGCACCACCCATGAAAACCATGTCTTTACGTCGAGGTGAGTCTTCAATTTTTATCTTAAATTTCTATAAAAATATACGTAACATAAAGCATCTGCAGTACATATATACATGTACATATACATACATACATCCACACACACACACACACACACACACTGAGTATTGTTAATCATATGACATACTTACATTCAATTTAGTGGTATCATTCTTTAATACTCTTTGTAGATAAAGTTGCTTAATTTCTCGTTCAAGCCTGGATGGAAGCCCTGGATACATTGTACTACCTCCGCTCAAAACGATGTGTTTGTACAGTTCGCTTCTGATATCGATATCAGCTGCTTGAATTGTGCTAAATACCAGCTCAGCTATTCCTTGCGCTTCGACGTTAATCAAATGAGGCTGAAAAAGCGCTTCTGGCGCCGCAAATCTTTCACCGCCTACTTTGATAACACGACCATCAGGAAGCTGAAAATGTTATATAAAATAATTTGCACAACTTAATTTAAATCATTTTAAATATTAATAAAATTATATATACATGATATTTTACTTACAGTATAGGATTCCACTAATACAGTGGTTTCAAGAGCCAATTTCTCTTCCGTTTCTATATTGTAACCAATGTAACATAGTTTCTCCTTCAACATTCGAACAGTTTCAAAATCAGCCGAATGATTGAAAGCGTAACCGCGCAGTAGCAGCAATTTAATTAGATACATTGTAATATCACGTCCGGCTATGTCTAACCGTCTGGTCAAATGTGGCAAAGCATACTCTTCGAATACGGGACAAATGTGCGTAACACCATCACCGGAATCCACAACGACACCGCTAATCAATCCTTGAGCGTATAATGTCAGTACTGCCTGAATCGCAATGTACGTCCCAGCGAAACCGTACTTCTCAAACATCACCTGGAATAATATCAAGATTCATTAAGATTTCTATTATATAACTTTATTTTAACTTTCTTTGGATTGCACAATGTTACCTCTATCATCTTTTCTCTATTCGTTATAGGATTCATTGGTGGCTCGGTTAACAGAATTTTACATTCTTTAGGGTTAATATTCATTTTCTCTTTGCCAAAGGTGTAATCCCACACGTGACACATGTCTTCCCAGTTTCTGTTAAACATTAATTATGTTACAACGAGATTCATCAAACAAAATATCTGATCTGAGATATAAACATACCTAACAATCCCATTTTGCATTGGATAACTTATCTCTAACATAGAACGAAGTTTACTTGCTTCATCGCCAACCATTAAGTCCTGTGAGACAATAATATGATTATCAAATCTCTGCATGCATCATCAACATATACTATGTTGATTTTATTATGACGCGCGATATTACTATTTTATTATATAGTAAGTATATTTGTAAAATTCTAAATATTTAAATACTAACTACGTAAATATCCAAAAAGTATATAACAAAATTTTTTATTACATGTGATAGAAAGAAAATTGAAGTAATTCCTGGTACATGAAATTTGGTATTAGATTAGATTAGATAAATATCAGATAAACATTTATGAAATTATCCTTTTGTATACTAATATTAAAAATATATAATTAACACAGCAATCATAATATGTTACTTTTGCGAGACTCAGACTATAGAATTTGTATCAGGAAAGTATACTGTGTTAAATCAGTTCCCAAATGTGTATACCTAAGCACTTTGGAAAAAGTTTGTCGGATTATATGATACTACTCCCACACCTACAGTCGAAAAAAAAGTCTTCTTCATTAAAACACTGATGTAAAGGATGTATATAGCACCAAAAAAGTACAATAAACTTACAGGCATGTTAAGCACATCCTACGAGAGCAAATGTAAGCACACAAATATATTAGATAATTATAGGAAGAGTATAGCATGTACATAAGTACCAACACAATTGCAGATAAACGACATTATTCTAACATATTAGTAAAGACACATCTTGCTTTGTCAAAACAGACATATTTATGTCGAATAAAAAATTTGTAAGATCTCTCGCAAGAAAAACATTATATCCAATACAATAAATTTATTGAGTACAATATAAAATCACTCACTTAACGATAATATTATAGCTCCAAGAAATTGTGAATAAATTCATTGAATAATTAAATGAATAATGTTCATCTTACATTTCAAATACATATTCCCTTTCGGTTAGTAAACGTCATTAGCCTCTCAAACTGTGACTTTTATTTACATCAGTGGACAAGCACATAGATTATTTTCAGTCGGACTTAAGCACTAGGGGGGCAGGGAGAGCACACGATGTAATACTATATAATAGACTTACACGAACGCAATATTCTTGCTGAAAATATAATTGTTCTTATTAATCGTCTAAATATTGATAAACACGCTCAAGCAATGTAAAGCTTAAAATATCATAGACTTTATATACAACTCGAACAATATACAAAAAGATACATCTCTTAGAGCTTTTCGTAAATATAATATATACTTCTCATCTTTCGTACAATTCCATAAATTGATTACAGTCAAAATCGAGATTCGCTTTACATTTATAAATGTAACTGTTGTATCATTTGCTTTACGTACATTAACTTTTATGATAATTTAAATAATCAAGTATCAATGGATTGATAATCATCAATATCAGTAAATCAAACGTCAACTATTAGGGCAGTTGTATTGAGATAAAATAAAAATGCAGTTACTGGCCCCGTGTCCTT